GTTTAGGACCGGCTACTTCAATTTCAAATAGGCGTAATTAAAAATTGTATACGAACAACTTGTTTCGTGTACAATTTTTTAAAAAAATTATAAAGGTATTAATTTTTTTGATGAATATGGTTAAATTAAATATATCTTACTTGACAACATGCAATTTCAATATATTTATCTTGCAGTCGAAAATGAGCGTCTTCCCAATCCTTCACGCACATTAATGCTTCCAACATATCTTCTTTCAATCAGTTCCTGACCTCGGAGAAAACCCTCTTACTTGCACTAAAAGCAGACTCCGAAACTACAGTGCTAACCGGAGGTGTTAGTAGATATTTTGCTATCGCAAAAACTATTGGCCATCGGCGTTCATACCTTTGCCATAATTCAAATACTTTTTCTGAACTTTTCTTAATTGTTTTGTTATTAGCATATTATGATTTAAGTAATCAATTAATTCAGCAGGCAACGCATTTGGACCTGTGCTCGATGTTTGATTACATGAAGTGGAAGACAAACTACTACTAGTACTAGAGGGAATCACAAGCAGATACAGTTGAATCATATCTATATGAGTTAATGCCTTCGAATAAATTTAAAACTTCAATGTCGTCATCTCCTATGGAATGAGTTGATGTAGAGCCGGAGGGTACCCGATTAATATGTGTACCCATTCGTTCAGCATATAATTCATACATTTCACATAAAATTTGTTCCAAATTTTTATAAGTGATATGTACATTAAAAGTTAAAGCTCTTNGATACACGAGTAATATGTGTACCCATTTGTGAAACATATAATTCATACATTTCAGTTAACGTTTGTTCCAAATTCTTACAAGTAATAGGCATATTAAAAGTTAAAGCATTTGAAATTTGATCAATTACAAATTTAGTACTCGATAGATTATATCGGGGATCTATGATGCATGCTAATAAAAATAATATAGGCAAGTCTTCTCAATATTTTCTAAACTTTAATTCCATGGAATATATAATTGAACTAAAACTGGAGTCATTTTTATATCTATGAAAAGTCCTAACAATTATATAAAGACGTTCAAGGACCCTAAAACTAGTGGAATAATAAACACCAGACAAAATATTTATAGAATCATAAAAATTTGTCAATTTTTTTTAATTTTAAAAGCTAAACTCCAATTGGAGTCATTCAAAATAGTATCGTCTTCGTATCTNCACATGATTTTAATAATAACTAAGTGGAGTTCTATCTATGTCCAACGTCACTAATAAATGTTTTCATATGCGTCACCCCCAGCTTCGGCACAAAATTCCTCAAATGCTTAATTTCTACTAAGTGAAATCGTGATATACACCAGTGCATTCCTAATTTTTTGAATTTCATCCTTAATATGTTTTAAACCGTCTCATACTATTAAATTAAAAATATGGCATACACATCGAATATGAAACAAATAACCACCGAAATCAAGTTGCAGTATTCTGTACAATTTATCGATAACTATCTTATTTACACTAGCGTTGTCGAACGTAAATGAACG